CCGAATCGGAAACATTAAACCATCTCTAGCTTCCTTTTTAAAGAAAGTTAGGACACTGCTGACGATTTCTCGACACTGAGATGTCAAACGGCGACCTTGTCTCGGCTGTTGACAATGAACTGACAAAGGTGCACCCCTTCACAATAATGGACCCAACCAGTTGTGACACGGTCACGCAATGCATTAGTATTCACTTGATCAGGTCAAGCTGAACAAGCTGTAGTGTCGATACAGATTTCGATATTATCCTGTCAACAGTTAAACAGTCACTCAGGAAAACACCACAAATCATATATCTTTTTGCATGAAAAAATGGCATGACCTCAAATAATGAACATTTACTTTTTTCCACTAGTATTTATCAGTGTTAATGACATGTTAAACTTCCATAACGTACATCTTTAGTCATATAGCTGGTTGTAACTGCCTATGTCAGTTACGTTTGGTTTACTGATTACTGTACTGTATGTGGAATATGATCGAATCCATATCGTGATGAAGTTGACAGGACCAATGTCTCTCGGTCATTAAGGAGAACTCAGCCGAACTTCGGAATCATTGCTTATTGAGTGAAATCATGTGTTACATTAACAAAAACAACGCTAGTATCATTTGGCTATATTTTCAACAGGGTGTGAGTGTCACACCATAGACTAACGCTTAATCTGTGAATATATATATTTTTATAGTAACAAATAATCCCATTTAAATTGAAAAGGAGCACCTGTGAGATGGGAGATTTAGAGGAAATCTAGTCTTGCTTCATTCAGGGCTTTAGTATTGCAGGGAGGGCTCGGCAGTAGGGCAAATAATGTGGTTCAGGGGCTGTGAGACAGACTAGTCACATCACAGCAGGAGAATATGTCTACGCTGTATGTAGTTGGGAATGCGTTGGGCAGTTTTGTATTCTTTTGTAACCCAAATGTCAAATGCTACCTTTGTTACTGAGATGAATTAATCAAGTGTTAGATTCAATAGTAGGATTCTGTACGACAAAACACCCCATCTTATCCTAAAAGCTTTTCCACCTCAGTAAGCAATGTAAGAAAACATTTACCAACTTTGGACACCGTACTCTGTGAAAATGACATCCCGAGAACATCGCGCTGGGTGTGTAATGTGTGTACTGACGTGCACTGGAGAATGATATTGTCGTCCTCACAAGTCTCCCACCAGTCCAGGGAACATTGGCGATGCATTATCTCCCGTGAAACGTCTACTGAATGCTCAGTATGGCGGTAAGTGATTCATGGGTCTGACACCACCATACCATGGAAACACCAGATCATTTCCGACCGCCTCCGTGGTGTAGTGGTTAGAGCGTCCGCCCGGAGAGCGGAAGGTCGCGGGTTCGATCCCCGACCGCGTCATACCAAAAGACGTTAAAATATGGTACTTGTTGGTCCCTGCCTGGCGCTCGGCATTAATGGGTACAACAAGGACTGGTCGGCTCGGAGTCAGTATAATGTGTCTGAGTGGGGTATTCATGCTTCACTGCGGCATGGTATCTCAGTGGGCTAGCACTATAAAACCAGTTTAAGTCTGGGCTAGTACAAGCAGCCGCACATACACATACACACGCATGCACGTCGTCATATGAGCGAAATATTCTCAAGCACGACGTTAAACCCAATTTCACCTCAACTCACCAGATACTTTCTGGTGTTGTTGGGGTTAGTGGCCTGTGAGAATGGGGGTCGTCTAGAAGGCCCTCCCTGTGATGACATGTAGTCATTATTAAAAAAATATTTTTTATGTACTGATGAGGTATTCAAGGGACGCTGATTTTTTAAAATTCTGTAGTATATTCTGGTGATGTATACAAGGGACCATGACCTTTGCAATTATCTTTTATATAACGACGACGTATGCAAGTGTTACTGAAGAGGCGCACAACTTGTTTACATTATTGAAAAATGACATTGAACATCGGAATTGCGTAAATGATAATGGTATATTATTACGATGGATGAACGAGTGAGTATGGTTTTATATGGTTTTATATAGCAATATTCAAGCAATGACACGGCTGGGAACACCAGAAAGTAGCTTCACACATTGTACCCATATGGGTCTTTGCGTGACGAGCAAACGCTTTAACCACGAGGCTATCCCACCGCCCCCGATGGATGAATGAAGAGCAACTGATGAACGTCGTTGAAAGAGTATTTTCCAACATAATAATTCCTCCCTACGACCACACACTCCACAGCTGCTCTGAAGTTAGCCATCGTCATTTGGTGAAAGTGTGTCACACAAATCTGTCATCACTTTTGGAAAAAGATGTAGATGTCTGGAGGTGAGAAACGATCATTCAAAGTCGTGTCATGGGGCGGTGGGGTAGCCTAGTGGTTGAAGAGTTGGCTCCTCACGCCGAACACCCGGGTTCGATTCCCCACGTGGGTACAATGTGTGAAGGACATTTCTGGTGTTCCCAGTCGTGATATTTATTCACTCACTCACTCATCGTATCATGCATTCTATCAACATTTTAGTGGTGGAATTTCAATGTTTTCCTGGGTTTGGGTCTTCTTTAAAGGTCACATGCAACGTAAAACACAACTTTGCAGATTCTGATACCTTTCGGTATGGACTTACCGAAACAAATCGTCAAAAATGCAAATTCAAGTTATAAAGTTGAAAAATAACGCGATGAAAAAAACCGCGCGAAATCGGAGTTCAAACGTTTCACTTATTTTCCCCCGACAAAACGGGTTTCAACAGCTGGGCTGCGCTCATAGCACGTGCGCAGTGAAATAGGTTCGCGCAGCTTGGAAGCGGGTTGTCTGGTGAATACTCGGTGAAGGCTTTGGTGTGAGCTATTTTTCTAATGTTTTGTTGATATCTCACAGGCGCGAGCTTTTTATATGTAATGACAGTAAATTAACTGTTTATATAATTTCATTTGTCTATTTGACCACACGTTCTTCTTACCGAGTCACTTTCTCAGTTCGATACTTAAAAGCAATGTCATTATTTAGCGTTGACACAATTTCTAACTGTGATATAGATATGTCGTTGTCGCAGACAAAACTCAATGTCTTGTTTTATTGACACCTGTGTGTCTGCCTGCCTGTCTGCTAATGACAATATTCAATACACAGCTGCTATCACTGACCACATGTAATTGAACTTAACAACAATCAGGCTATACACCATAAACAAAATGCACTGATTTATGTCCCGAGTTCGGTCTCTGTCACATTATGTAATTACACAGACAGGTAGGTGTGATACTTGAACACATGACATGTTATGATGTCTGTTGATTGCAAAATGTTATACACAAAAAAATGAGCATGTATTTACAAAACCCAACATCTCTATATATACACACACAATGAGCCGTGAGAGCATCTGCAAATGAACCAGCCGTTACACTTGAGTGCACACCTACCCGCTCTGACTGGGTTCGGTATCCCGGCTGCTTCGTTTCTTGGGAAGTAAACCCAAGTACAAAATATTGCACTTTTGATTTGCGATTGTACGCTTATAATTTTGTTTATATGTTTTTTTCATAACCAGCAATGTATATGATATGTCATGAATAAGTGATAATTGTGTTTTAATTATGTTTGATTTTTTGGTTGCATGTGACCTTTAAGACTCTCTGCTCCTTTTTGAAATCTGCATGCAAGCATGGAAGGTATTGTGTTTATCGCATGCAAACTGTTGAGGGCTTACTGCCTTAGGTTCAGCCACTCCTAAACAACGGTAAACAACAAACCAACCAACCTCCTTGTGGGAATTGGTCAGGAGAGCTTCAGTGTGAGCTTAACAACTATGAGAGCGGGCTGTTTCTGGGAATGTCAGTAGCTTCATTCGGTTTAACTGTGATCAGCCAATTACTCACATATGGCCTTGTTGCTGGTAAGGATAGTGCGACATGCACAATGATATCGACATGTAATCAATTTGAAACAGTTTATACACATGATTGAGTTTAAAAGTGGTCTGTTGTTTGGTCGATGTTTATGACAAGGTCTTCCTTCCTTAAACAAAGGGTATTTGATTTGCCTAGAAAGTGAATGTCAAAACAAGAATAAACTACTTTATCTTGTCTCCTATCAAGGTTCTGTATGCCGAGTGGGCTCTGCATCCTCATTTCAGTCACGGGTGTTTTAACTGCCGATTTGGCGTCAGAAGACCCTGCAACAGTACCTATTGATATGACCGTTCCACATTGTCATAGGAAATGTAAGCACAAGCTCTACACACTACACACTACACACTACACTTGGGGGATGCTAAGTGAAGGAGTGAGGGGTGAGGGTGGCGCAAATTCATACAATAATTAAATCAACACCAGGTTTTATACTCACATAGGTCTACTCAATCCCTCTATTCATTACAAGGTGACTCTGACTGGACAGGACAGGGCAAGCTCTTTACCAGACGTGGACCTGCAACGATCGCGATGCAAACGTTCTGCTGACTTTGAAACCCGCACCACTTGACGGTGTCTTTTTAAGGTGTTCGAACCTGCTCCGCCCTAGCCACACGTCCCTATACAATATTTCTTATTTTTTAAAGCTACATCGTTCCATGGTCTCATGTCCTACCTCGTGATTGGTGAATTACTGTGAACTATCCATCGATGATTAACTAATACTTTATGAATCTTTTGGATTCTGTTACTCCCAGTTATTATGTTCTATATCCCTTGATTATTTAGCAAGCAACCTATAACACGGCAAGATGTCCCCTAAACTAATTGACACTACTGGTGGACACACAGTCACTGGAAATTAGACATGGAGAAGGACTAATTCCGACTAATCACCTTCTAACGCCGCTACCTGAACGCCTTGGAGAAATGCATTGACATCAACTTTCATCATGCGTTAGGTATGAAAATAGGACATTCACTGGATGAAGGTTTTCTGGTTGTTTATTTCCTTTACCGTTTCAATATATAGACATGAACACTCATAGAGACGTCCATATGCGAATATACAACAAGACAATGCTGCTACTGTTGCGGGTGATCTCCCTTCAGTAAACTTCATGCGTCGTGATCTAGCGACAGCTAAAATATGATTCAGTTCCCGAGGCACTCGCTTTCAAATGCGAGTAATTGTTTGTATATTCACTTATCGATTGGAAACCAAAAGCTGTTATATCTTCCATTTCGCTCAGCAATAAAAATCTGTACATTCTTGATTTTAGATATGTGCTTAATCGCACTTAGAAGTACACACATTTGAGAGCAGATATATGAGGAAGTGAATTGTTTTGCAGTTTTCACTGGAATCCGATTCGTGTACACCGGCCCAGGGTTGTTACAGTCTGTGTAGCAAGAGGTGAGTATCAAAGTCGCTGTAAGGAGCCGTAGAGATAAGACTATCGTAGCCTGGTAAAATGATAAACTTCTATGGCAATGGAAGTCAACAGTTACATGTCACTTTAATCTCTGGATGTTGACATATGGTGCAGACATGCACTGGTGTACCAATCATGATTTCACTAATACTTCACATCATCCTGTTTTACATCCAGACTCCGTGCATCCATTCTCTGTAAATCCTTTCTTCTTACCACACCAACAGCTGCTGCCAACACTGAACTCAATACCATGGACGATCCTGGTAACATGAAATAGCACACAACAGTACAGATGTCAATGTAAAACATATATCCAATACATTATTGTATTGCGATTCAGGGTGACATAAAGGCTTGGCAATTTAATCTTTCCACATAATTTTATATGACGGACCTTACAATGACTGAACCTTTCATTATCTGTGTATGTTGTATTCAATGGGATTGACATAAAATCGTACCTGCAAAAACGTATGTAAAATCGTAAGCGCCACTTAACTTATAAATCCAACCTGAAAATATAGATTATTGGTATATTAGACAAAACAATACTGCCTTCTTTGAATATTTACTTCAAGTCGAATTGAGGTCCTCAATACACACTTTAGTAAAACCCATTTTTTGCTTTAAGTGTGTGTGTTTGTTGTTCAGTAATATTTCAGCTTTCTGGTAGCGGGAGAATCCATGAGAGGCTATAGTCAAACAATGTAAGGATCAAACAGCATATGAGTGGTGATAATGACATGAAGGGTGAACTGCTGCTGTAACAATCTGACCTCACTGCTAAACTATCACCGAGTTTCGGGACATTTGTTCTTCCAGAGAATCCTCACATGGGTACAATGTTTGAAGCCCATTTCTGGTGTCCCACCCCGTGATATTGCTGGAATATTGTTAAAAGCGACGTAAAACTAAAAGCCGACTAAAACCCCTTCAAAAGAAAGTCTGGATGGAGAGGAAATAGTACAGGCAATGACCACTTACTTGCTATCGGAGGTCCTAAGATGTATCCAATTCCCTGAAAGAAAAATGCGCACCCATAAGCCACTGGAACCTCCTCCACAGCTACCAAGTTAAGGACCATGGGACCAACCAGAGTATTCATACCTTGGCTGTAAGTCCCATAGAGACTCCCAAACACAAGCTGAGTAGTGTATGTGTGTGAATAAAGAGGGAATAACAGAAGCACCATTCCAGATATGCCAGTAAGGCCTATGTGGAGTGTGAGGTATGGGATTTTCGAATCGGAGGCCATTATTCCGGCGGCTAGTCTTGAGAATATACTTCCAACTCCCATTGCAGTGAAAAGCGTTGCAGCCTGGTCTGGAGAGCTTCCTTTTTGTTGAGCATAATATGGAAGATGGAAAACAGCGGCTGCTTCACCATGTGCCCACAGCATGATGCTTACGTTGTATATAAGAAATCCAATATGTTTTAGAACTCTAAGAGACCTGAAGACTTTGCAAATAGTCGATTGCAACAACCTGTCATGGTAACCTGTGTCAATGTTTTTGTCCTCTCGATGATCATTCTTAATTTCAGTTACACTTTGAGCCTGTTCCTTCCGGAGTGGTCTCAAGGTAACAGCAGCAACACACATGTGGAATTCTATTGCACCAAGGATAAGAAGCGCCCCACTTAGGTTGTACTGACTGAGAAGGTATCTCACAAGAGGTCCGGCAACAAAGAGACCCAATCCTCCACCAGCAATGCACACACCAAACGCTGTTTCGTGCCTCTTTGAAAAGTACTTCCCTGTTACAACGCCAACCACATTGCAAGCCAGACAAACACCAAATCCTGTAAAATATAAAAGAGAAGAGATTGAGGATTTGTCCTGAAAAACCCAAAAGTTCCACAAAACAACCCACAGGATTGTTTCACTCTGTGGTGGTAAATCATTATGTTTTGTCTATTCATATAAGTTCATAAAGAAGACATTTGCGTCCTGCATATTATTGTATACCAATTCTGAAAATACACATTGCAGTCCATTTGCACCGACCATTATCCTTAATGAACCATCTACAATGTTTGAGGGTACATACCTGATACAAGGCCATAGGTGAGCACCAGGCCAAGTGTCGATTTGCAGAACGAGGCAACAGTCATACCTGTTAAGGTTAAAGCGGCACCAACCATAGCCGCAACACGGGAACCAGCTTTAGCCTGTATCAACCCAGCAACTGGACCTGTGAATTTGACAATAATCTCGAAAGACTGATGTGAGCGCCTATCTAGGAGTGTGTGCAAGGGATATATATCTAGGAGTGTGTGCAAGGGATATATATCTAGGAGTATGTGCAAGGGTTATATATTCAACACATGATCTGCTATTTACACCCTTTTAAAATATTAGAATGAGTGAGGGATCGTGATGGAAACTTTCCCCTGGAACTAAAACAACATGCAGGTTATTGACGTGTGTCGCTCTGGTAAAACCAAAAGGTATCCTTGCAAGTCCCAAAGACGATCACTTTCACTACGAGTTGCAGTTCCACCTACAACGCACCTCTAACCTGAAGAAACCCAAGAGACATGGCACGCTATGATTGATAATAATCAAACTGAAGTCTACAAAAATGCAACGCTTTTGATCTCTGTTTATGAAAAACATATTTACCGTCTTTAATTCGTATTTGCATATTGAAAAAGTCGATAGTTTTGTGTAAGGAGACGATGTCATATTCAAATCAGATGTCGCATACCTAGTAAAGTGCACGCTCCGAAGTTGGCTGAGCCTATCCATGAGGTCTTGGTCAGATCGTTTTCAATTTTCCTCCAACACAGCGATGTTCATGATACCAGGAGAATACACCAGTATCCCAGCCATAAACTGTAAGGTGAAGGCAGCTGCAAGGATCACCCAGGCGTAACCTCGGTCTATGTTTGATCTAGATACTTCCATCGTTCCTGCACCAAGGACAACCAAAGGATAAGTGGATTGTTTGTTAGTGAACGATGCTCCCAACAATATCACAGCTGAAAAAACGGCGGTGTGTAAATACTCGTGTCCAGGTCAGTTACACATCTTGAACATCACTCTACTTAACTGAGATACGTGGTGATATGCATAGAATTTGTCAGCAAGCCAGATCACCCAATCAAGTCAGTGGCCTCTTAGCAGAAATATGGAGTGCTGAAGACCAGTTCCAACTGGACACTTCACGGGATACTTGTGTGTTGGCATGGTGAATAAACTGTTACATTGATACCCTATGCAAGCTAAATGCTGAATGTTTATTCCGAATATAGGATATGCAGTTGACCACGGTAGAAACAAGGTGTTCATTAGTGGCAAACGAAAAAACAAATACTGCCATAGTTAAATGACTCGTGCACATCATTGTTAGGAACATCAAAGGGTGCAATAGGGATGTGGTGACATGTATCAACCAAGTCAGCGACCCTGACCACCCTATCTTGTTAGTCGCCTCTTATGGCAAGCATGAGTTACTGAAGATCATTTCTAACCCGGATCATCACGCTTCAAGTCGGATGGTGACCTCAGACAATATAATCGCCGTTGACACTTGTACTTAAACACTGGAATTCGATGTATTCAACTATTACTTAATTATAACATAACAATATACTTCAAATACGGTTTGTCTGAGTTGACGTTTTATGTGGAAGTGATAAATATTTGGACATGCAAAAACATCAACCCAAACAAACCGTAGTAGTTACTTCTCATTGAAGTATATTATCTTGTGTCACCATAGGTTGACTTTCAGTCGAATTCGTAAACATAAATTATAAATATCAAAAAAAGGGAGTAAAAAAATAGACAGGAAATAGAATTGAATCTTGGGGTAATGACAGGTAATGGATACCTGTGCCCCTGACAGTACAGGTATTTGGTTGCTCGACTGCATGCATGGATGCGTCCTCTGAACTCCAGTCTAGACACTATGGCGAACCGACAGCAGAACAGTCTTGAATTCCGATTCTGTGTAACCAGGACACCAGCGTTGACACAGTTGTTTGTAAATGAGACGGGTGGTGAATGTTCGTACGAGGTCAAGGAATGCGGTTATAGTCTGTCCACTATCAGATTCTACAGTTAAGCGAGACTTACCTGTAAGGCGATGGTTGACTATAATTCCACCAACCTAAGCAGAACTGACGGATTACGTGAGATGTGCGCATGCGTAAAATAATCAGTCTTTAGCAATGAATGTATACCTTAAGATCCATGGGTGGGAGAAAGGGTGGGCATCGTAATCCTCAGTTCTGCTTAGGTTGGTGGAATTATAGTCAACCATCGCCTTACAGGTAAGTCTCGCTTAACTGTAAATTCCACCAACCCAAGCAGAACCTCAGAATTCCGTGAGATGTTTAGAGTAAGGTATGCATTTATTACACTTCGCCATATTTTGTGAAAATAATAGAAAACAGACGAAATTTATGCTACTCTCAAGTTTACTAACAAAATATCCATAGATACATATTACAAATCTTCTCACACTAATTTAGAGTTTTTACTAGATGACATTTAACACTGTTTAAGTGTTAGCTTGCAAAATAGCCTCCCCAAATTCACATCCAGTCTCTGTTACTGGTTTGTCATAGTACTTCCTAAAAGTACATTCATTACTCCACCCTGCAGTGTTGAGTATTGTTCGCAAAGGAATCTTGGCAGCAGCAGCACTAGTCGAGGCTGCTCTGATGCTGTGTGGCTTAAACACTGATGTATCCACTCCAGAAAAGTCAGGATAGCCTTCACCCAACGTGCAATAGTGTCACTCTCTGGTGGGGGTTTTGTGTGGAGATAAACAGGGCTGTTTCTTTACCCCTCAAGCTTGCCGTTTTTTGTAGGTAAAGTCTCATAGACTCCACAACACACAACCTCTTGTCAGGGAACGACTTTAAAACTAATTCCCTTTGGTGGAATCTAGGCCTTGTTTGTTTTAAGAGATCACCAAATCTAATAACAAGTTCACTGTCCTTGATATCAACATTTCTACAGTCTATTAGATGTAGAGACTGCAGTCTTTGTCCAGACAACAACAATATCAATGTAGCTAGTTTTCTACTTAAACACAACAATCTCTCTAGACTAGAGCTACTCAATTTTTTAATGTAATCTAGAACTAAGGATACATCCCATGTCGTCGCATATCTGGGTAAGGCAGGGCGAATATTGAAAACCCCTTTCATAAAGCGTTTCACCATTGGGTGTTGTCCTATGGGATTACCTCTAACACTCACAAAACTAGACAGTGCTGATCTGGCACTGTTCATAGCAGAATAACTGATGCCAGTCTTGAACAATTCAGTGAAAAATTCCAAGCTTTCTCTCAGAGTTGGTGCAATGGGATTGATGTCTTTCCCACAGCAAAACTGCATCCACTTTCTGAAATATGTCCCATATTGTTTCCGTGTACTGGGACGCCATGACTGCAGGATGATGTTTGTAGTTTCTGGCGATAAGCCTTCACTATGAAGGATTCCCCTGACAATCTGTAAGCTGTCAGCCGAAGTTTCTGCCACAGAGGATGGGTTTTCTGGCAGGTGACTGAGTTGTAGCAGGGTTCTTGACTTTGGTAGCAGTCTGGGGCAGTCTACTGACAGCTCTAACAGCCTGTTGAACCACGGCTGGGTTGTCCACAGTGGAGCGATCACAATTGCTTCGGCTTTGTCGTGGCTGAGTTTTTGCAGGGTCCTTCCTAGAAGACTGAAAGGGCAGAAAATATAATTGAGTTCACTCTGCCATGACAAAGAAAAGGCATCTACCGCCACTGCATCTGGGTCACAATGCCAAGATACAAACTTGGCTACTTTTTTGTTTATGCGGGAAGCAAATAGATCTCTTGTTGGCACTGAGTCAAAAACACTACACACACGAGAGAACACCTCTGTATTTAATTCCCATTCTGCGTCCTCAGAGAAATTGCGTGATTCCCAATCAGCCTCAGTGTTAAGTACGCCTGGAATATGTGCAGCCGAAATCCAGATTTTCCGCTGTATGCACCAAAGCCATAATTGTCTTGTTACACTATTGCATAAATACTTAGTACCTCCCATATGATTGATATAGGCTACAGCTGTAGCGTTGTCACTCAGAAGTCTGATATGAGCATTAAGTCCATCTCTACAAAGGGCCTTAAGGCTGAGCCACATAGCAAGGATTTCGAGGTAATTTATATGATGGGATGCCTCCACATCAGGCCATCTTCCTCCAGCATGCCTATCCTCACAAACTCCGCCCCAACCTAAGTTTGAAGCATCTGATTTTACTACAACATCTGGCTGTTTCCTGTTGAGCACATTGTAAAATTCACACTTATTCTGTGTCCACCACAAAATGTCTTCTCTGCATTCTTCTGATTATAGAGGTATCAAAATTGCCTTTGGCCAGTTTTAATTCACGATTTTTCTGAATTTCTAATCTTTTGAAGTGAACTGGTGCATATTGCACCCCAGGATAACTTGCATTTAGCTGTCCTATCAGCGCAGAGAGTTCCCTGATAGTCAAACACTCTTTCTCCAAAACTTGCTTACAATGTGCAATAAGTTTCTCACTTTTCTCTTGCGTAAGCTTGACTGTCATAGCAACACTGTTTATGGTGAATCCTAAATAGGATATTTCTTGAGTCGGATATAACACCGATTTTTCTGGGTGAATAGTGAATCCTAAAGAATCAAGCAGATGAACAGTGTGATGCACAGTGTCTTTACGCATAATTTTTGTTTCTCCCACTAACAATGAATCATCAATGTAAGCAGTATTTGCATACCCAAGTTTCCTTAAATGAGAAAACACAGATTTTAGAATCTTTGTGTACATCCGAGGTGCTGAGCTTAATCCGTTAGGAAAACAGGTATATTGATAAAGTTCATTATCCCAAACAAATCGTAGGTATTTTCTATCAGTCACATTAACTGGGATGGTGTAATATGCATCCTTTAAATCCACTGATGCGAAAAAACAGTTCTTCCGCACCAAATACAATGCAGATTTTAAAGTTTCCATCTTAAAATGGTGATTATCAACATTCTTGTTCAAATGTTTAAGGTTAAGAATAATTCTCACAGAACCATTTTTCTTATCCCTCATAAAAATGTTTGATATGAATTCACCACATTGATGCTCACATTTTTCAATGACCCCTTCCTTTAGCATGTCACTTAATTGAACATCCATCTTTTCCCTTTCATATGTGTTGAATAGAATTGGTGTAGGAGTATACGCTTGTTCTGGGGGGAGACGTGAATTCTATGTGAGCTCCCCTAATTGAGGATATAACCCATCTGTCAGAAGTTATCATTTTCCACATATCTGGATACTCACATACTTTACCAGCCACAAAATTACTGGGAGTATTCACAAGTCTGAAATTTTTTCTCACCTGTGATGCCGAATTGTCCATGAGGGGTTGACAGTCTACTGATATTTCCTCTCCCCCTCCTTTTTCGGTAAAAAAACAGTGCCCTTTCCTTTGCCGTAGGTAGGGTAAGGGGAGACGATTCGACCCCTGAAGGTTTTCTTCCCCCCTGTGCCACGATTACCACCTGATGGGTGTCCTTGTCCATAATGGAACCTGTTGTTGGCATGTTGGTACGGGTTGAATTTCTCTCCGTGGTATTTCTTCTTAGTAAACTTATCAGTCATCTTGAGCCCTAGTTGTTTACTGTCAGAGATGTCCTTAACTTTCTTTGGCAGGTCATCCCCGAATAGGTACTTGGTAGTCGTCACTTTTTCTGTGCAAAGTCTTTTGTATGGTGCCCCCACCTCAGGTTTAAACCCTTCTCTTCTTTTCTTGTTTACCTCGCTTATGGCACCTGACAGGAGTCTGATGGCATCCATTGATTTTACCAAAAGTTCCTTTACATTCACTGGCGTTTCACCTAAGGCGGCAGCCATTAAGTGGTCAGTCGCCTGGATCACTGGGATCAAAGCCTTGGTAATGAGAGCCTGCGTGTGTTGGTGTTGAATGTCTCTTGTATGGGCAAACGTTCTGGCTTGTCTCCAGATCTCATCGTTTACCTGGGGGACGAGAAGTCCTTCACAATTTCCAGGTCGTTTGTACTTTTCCATAATCGCCTTGATCTTTTTTATATTTACCACGTTCCGTATCCCATCACTCACAGTTGAGGCAAGCTCGGCTCTCACATTTGGCGATGTTTCATCCGTGTCATCGAAGAAACTCTTCAACTCGGCCACAAGGCCTGCCACATCACTTTCGCCGTCGTCCTGTTTATCGGGTTTAGACTGCTCAAGCTGGGATAAAAAGCCATCGAGTCCATCCATAGCGTTTTCATAATCATCGTGCGAGTCCAGATTTCGCCCTCACTCTCACTGTCATGGCCGTGTGGCACTTCCGTCACACTCGAATCATCTCGGCTAACTCCGGACGTACTCGGCCCGGGTTGCGAGTCCGAGATTTCATAACCCAAACGGGGCCCCAACTTGGCCATCAGCCTGTCGGTCTGCTTTTGCTGGGCGTCTATCATAGCCCGCATCATTGCCTCGAGCGTGGATGCTGGCACTGACCTTTGACCCTCGATCTCACGTTCGTGCCGTTCACAACCCTCTGGGTATTCTTCCTCCGTTTCTGAGTCCATTCGGGGTTTGGACTTGGGTCTCGGTTTATCCAACTGTTGCGACAGATTTTCGACCACTTCAAACCATGAGGGTCTGTTCATGCCAACTGTGTTGGGCTTTGTTATACGGGTAGAGCTGTGCTCCGTCACCCCATTGTCTTTGGTAGGTGTCGCCATATTGTCTCCACTCTTTGACCACGGACTGTGTCCGTCAACGGTTCAAAGAAAGGGTCTGTGAAGGCTGTGCCCTCTTCCGACCAACAAAAGTCCCTCCAAGACACTTCTGCAGCCGATCACGTAAAACAGAAAGTTGTCTGTATCCGTAGTCCGAGCTTGTTGCAAAAAACTTGAGAGCTTCGTTAATTAGTTGCTGACCATTTTAAGCAAAGCGCCAAACTGATTATTTTACGCATGCGCACATCTCACGGAATTCTGAGGTTCTGCTTGAGTTGGTCGAATTTAAACAATAAAGTCTATAGTGTGACTGCAATGTAATGAATGTTAACGATTACCAGCTAAATATTACACCAAAGTTAGGGTCAGCTGTGTTAAGAGATTTCCTCTTTTGTGCGTGTTCATATCTCGCTGTCGTCTTGTCATCTTCGTGTGATCAATTTTGAAATGTGTTCGTAACGAGTATGTAACGTTATGTGGAAGTATACAAATACATTCATTATTTAGTGAGCCTTTTCGGGCAGAATCTTGTTTAACAAATTTTATCAATCTGTCAAATATATAGTAACGTCACACAGTACACAAGATGGTACACAGGGTGGTCGGAAATAGAGGAGCAAACACCTTTTTCGCTCGGAAATGCGTGAACAAGAAATGCTGAATGGGTTCCTTGCACTGCTGTATGCTTTTAACACTCGTTATTGTACAAAGAAATATTGTAAATATTCGAGGTATACACATAAAGATATTTCATCTCAACAAAATCCAAACACCCCCTCCTTACACCCAAACGGTCGGTCAGTGACTGAAATGGCGAAACCCATGTGCGTACATTAACATCAGATTCCACATGTAATGTAAGTCGTGTACACCCAGCAAGAGTTGAAGCATTACTTGTCGTACAATAGCTATCATTGAATAATTTGGCTAGTGGTGAGCATAACATAATATACATGTGGACTACCATATGTGTAGGTTTCTTCTTCTGTCACAGCAAGTCATGTATAAACACACTGGATTTGAAGGGTCTTACCTCTCACGTCATATCCAAGTCAGCGACAGGCCAGTAAGATAACAATAGTTTTCCATCAATTGCTGCAGGTTGGTTAAGTGTGTCAGAGCGATCGGTGACTGTATACATTATGTACATGTGTAATAGTACCTAAATGTTCTTGACAGGTGGTAGCTGACTGTTATTAGGACACACGCACAAAAAGCCGGATTGTATACATTTATGTATAGCACACAGAAGGAATGAACAATATGTAATTGCCGCATTTCGTGTGATTCAATATTGTGAACTATATTTCGTCTTTTATTTCATGTGAAGCTAAAACATTGAAACATCGAATTATTGCTAGCTACACGGGCTTGTTCTTCTGACCGGATTGTCGGGAAACGAAGTTATAAATTGATACCCCTGTAAATATGCCCTTCCCAAAAAGAAACTTATCAACAATAAATGATGCTATTGGATTATTTTATTGTCACAGATTCAGGTACGTTCTGAAGTCAATCAAGTAGTAACTGAGCGGAAGTGATTCAGACATGTTAGAAAACACGTCCGATTCGCATAAATGTACCCGTTGTTGACGTTTGTACTGAACCGCGAAAGCACCAGCCTCAGAGGGCATCATGATGTTCTGCAACAGCTTGTGGCGAACCCCCCACTGCTTACCGCATCTGCAGTCTTTCAAATTGATCACATGCGTAATATTTCTGTCATTACTATACAGTTGAATTAAACTAAAAATGATGTATTTTTGGTTATAAAAAGTACCAATATCCGAATATACACCCGTCTAGTCTATATCATATAAACTAAGACCCACATGACGTCTTGCGCTTGGACCAATTGATAAATCAATCACCATATTTCTATGTAGCTTGGAGTGGATTTCACCCACGTTTTACAGAATAAAATGAATTACATTTTAAATGAATGGAATTTAATATAATAAATCTAAATTCTCTTAGTTCACACTACACCAGAAATAGTGACATATTACTAATTCTAACCACACAAATATCTGCATCAAATCCTTCAGTGAAATAGCTTCTACAGGCAAACGCTTCCCCAAAAAAATAAATAAAAATAAAAATAAATATATATAATCTATATTGAAACTAAAACCTTACCGAAACCTGTCGGCATTCATCTCAAAGCAATGAGAGTACATGACTGGTCATGTATTAAGTCACGTCACTGAACTGAAAGTGATATTTGTCATAAGTTTATGTATCTGCACATCTGTGTACAAGCTTGTCTCTCTAGATATAACCATATTACATCGGCTTCAAAAACCATATTTGACAAATGAAATGACCATAAAACAGAAACAGCTGATGATAGTTATCCGAATGTAGTCACAATTGCTGACCACTATCCATTGCTAACCAAAGGAAACAGTCACTACTGCTTACATGAGCGTTGGTTGTGTCCAACAAGTTGGCACTTGCCACATTTCTTATCACACACCCTTCTTTTTGACCTTGTCAGGTATTCAAGTCTGTTTTGTTTAAGCATTATGTTTAAAAGCTTCTCTACCCCTGTGTGAGGTAGAATGAAAGTACTACTTGGTAGCATAGTCATTCAGTTTCTCAAAACCTTGCTGAGAGAAAGTAATAAGATTACCATGGAGTTTGATCATTTCAGGAACATGAAAAGCTAAGATATGCATGTACGGAGTAACATCCTTACTTTGATACACATACGAAAACGTTCTGACCCAGTTCCTGCATTTGTCACCTAATACTTGATATTCACTTGCGTGAAATGATTCTTTTGAGAGAAGCTGAGATATTTGTGACAACTCGAATCATATATCTTACGGTGATCCGGTATGACTTCTGACACCTTAAGACTTTCAGAAATCTTTCTATGCTCTGGTCCAGTAAAGTCCCTGAAAGTAAACCTTCCAGTTTCTTTATCATTTCTGAAACGAAATTCAATCCCTAAAGTTTGTACAAAATCCTCGAACTTAAAGACATTTCCACACTTTGACGTCATATTTTCCATTGCACCTTTGAATGTTGTCCCTCGTTCTAAGCTCAGTGATGAGATGTTTCACCAGCTGGTCAGATACTCGAAGATATGAATGTAGCAAATCTGGTACTACTCTGGTTAAGGCAATCAAACTGAATAGAGGTGGATGAAGACAGTTGAAATTCTTATTTTTTTTGTTAGACATTGTTGAAATTTCCTCTACTGTCCTGGCGCCTTTCTGAACATCAACAAGTGACCACTCTCTACTCATATCATGTCTGTCAAAGTTAGGACATTTGCACCAAACACAGCTGTAAGTGCAGGAACATGAAGCAAGACCACACACCATGTTTAGAAACTTTAAGTCTCCACCCAGGAAATATGTAACATGAACCAGGGTACCTCCAATGTTCAAAGTGTTTAATGCCTTTGCTTCTGTGACTATATCTTCTAGGGCTAGTTACAGGTAAGTTTCATTACCTGTAAACATGGCTAACAAATAGTTTCCTCTGTCTGAAGTACATAGGTCGTCATCCAATATAGTAAAACCGAAATGTATTACCTTTTTTCTCCTGCCTAGTTCAGTGCCATCATCCGTGAGTTTAACATTGACAGATTGCTTCGAAAGTATAGCCTGACCACTTCCCCGATGCAACAATGTTAGCTACACAGTTAGTAAGTCGATCTCGCAGAGATTGCTGAACACCAACAGTATCATTTGGTGTGTCCCTGATCTTTACATCAACATTGATTTCCATAGCTCTTTTGACAACTGAATGTAACTGTGACATGTCTGGTACAACCATTGATAATTCATGATAAGCCTTGTTCGATATGTTTTCAGAATCCTTAACATACAATAGTGCATCTAAATCCGTGACAGAGCCCTTCTCTTCTTTAACGACTGAAACTGAATTCTTATCCAGGGATAAACGTAACCGTTTGCCATCTTCCTGTCTAACGTCTACATGCTTCCATGTTGTACCTCCAGACAAATGCCAAAGACTTCCTACAGTTCTAAAACCCTCCAAGGTCTGACTGATTTACTGTTTTGATTTTGCAATAACATGCAATATAATTTTTGAATCTTTTTACGCATCACATTTTTTTGAGTCTGGAGTTTCTTTGCCTGGTGAACAACTGAACGGTATCTTTTGAACATAATCGTCCTCAATTTTCTTTCCTGTAACAACTGCTTCTGCATAGCCGGACGATATGCCTCAGAGACATCAACTGTCAAAATATACTTTTCAACTTTCCAGTCTTCAAATAATTGCCTATACTGTATGCCCCCCTTTCTTTAGGTTTTATCAGGCTTTGAAATGAGTTTTTTTCAAATAACTTATAAATTTGGGTAAACATTTGTCTAAAATGACATGCTGAAAGTCAATGTTGTTATTTTGACATACAGTCGACAAGACTGCCTGGCATATATTTGGCTTAAATGTGTTAACTTTGGTTTGTTTTCTAAACTCTTCATACAATCTTGATTTTGTGATGCTGACAGATATTTCAAAATCACCAGACATACCTAGATGAAAAGGGGATAACAGAATAAGTATCGAAGTGAGCAGAAGGTTAAACAATATCATCATAATTGAAACAAAAGCAAAAGCTGAAAGTCAGCTGTCAGAACAGAGGACATCACATCTTAGTGCCTTAGGGTAGCCCTGAGAAGGTTGAGATCGAACCTGTTTCCCTTTTCTCGAACAAATTTGATTTTGAACATGAAACCTCTATGACTAAGTCTCTTTCTCATGTCTAGAGTATATTCCTCTCGTGGCTTTCTTTCGTAGTACCTGAAAATGATGGTCTCGCGGTTAATGTATATAAAGTCACCAGTCTGGTTTATTATCCTGACCCACCATTCATCACCGAACAAAATATCCGGACTGTGTACATCAAGGAACTTAAACTCTGCTCCTGGGGTGGACCCATTCCATGACCTAACCTCTCTTGACAGATCTAGAATGTCCGTAGCTATCTCAGGCGAAGATATTGGGATCTTTAAAGTAAC